AAAAATGACACGTCTTTGTTGAAAAATAACAACAATTTATTCGGTATTTCTTGTTATGTATAAGGAAAAGTTGCTTTGTTAATATCAAATTTAGACTTGTCTTTTTCCAGTAAAGACGTGTTTTTTCAAATAAATCATGGTCATTTTTAATTAACGTAGATGCTATTTCTTGTTATGTATAAGGAAAAGTTGCCTTGTTAATATCAATTTTAGACTTGTCATTTTATAGTAAAGACGTGTCATTTTTAAATAAATTATGATCATTTTTAATTAATGCACATGCTGCTATGTTATGTATAAGGAAAAGTTGCTTTGTTAATATCAAATTTAGACTTGTTATTTCTCAATTAAGACTTGTCATCCTCAGATAAATTGTTGTCACGAGCTGGAGTTACAGTAAAAGAGTTAACTTATATTTTTGTTTGCATTATAAGGTTAAGAAATCTTTGATGGCCCAATGGCCATCCTTTTGTTGGTCCAAGTGGCCAAGGGGTTGTGGGATCAAATCCCACCCCCGCCACTTTGAACCAATATTATCCTATTCCCAAAAAAAAAAAATCTTGTCACAAAAATCCTTCACCGGCAGCCACCACACCGGTGGCCGGCGCCGGTGGCCGAAGGCGGTCGGCGGCCGCCGGAGGCCAGTCGCCGGCGGTGGTCGCCGGTCGCCGGCCACCGGTGAGGGGCTGGGTTTTTTTTTAAAAAAAAAAAGAACAAAGGGCATTTTTGTCATTTCACTGAATTTCCAAAATCCCAATTTGGGAAGGACTTCCCTATGGGTAATTACATTTCCTTAGCTTCCCAAATTGGCATTTCACATTTTGGAGCTTCTTTATCTGTCATTTTCCCAATTAGGAATCCGATTAACAGACTCATTTTTATGGCAGTACAATGTATAATTTACAACTAATACATTTCATTCTATAAAAAATAAAGGATATGAGAATATAACATTTTATTACTTTTAATTTTATTAATAATTTTATAAGATATTAATTATATTTGACAAGCCTGCATTCTTCTCTTCCGATTATGTAAAACCATTCCCACGAGGAAAATGACATAAAATCCTTGCTTTTTATTTTAAAATTAATTTACCGATTCTTACAAACTAAAATTACTTTACGAATTTCCTGGCCATTAAAGAATTTAAACTATTCTATAAGTAGAATGACTGAAATTTTCATAAACTAGAATCTTGTTTTTCTCTCTCCTTATTTTATAGAAGAGAGTAAGCCATAATTTTAAAAAAATAAATAGTTGGCTTGAGTAAAAGGGACATAATTCCCTTTAAATAAAGTCGAGTATTTTAATTTTTTATATTGAAAAAAAATCACATTTGGAGAATTACTGTCATTTGAATTTGACGATTCTTGTTGATACTCATGTTGGATGATTGTAATTTAAAACAAAAAAACAAAAAGAATGAAGACATGATGAATGAAGGCCTATTCATATGGATGCAATGTATCTTTCACTTTTCTCTTTTAGCTGACAAATAAACACATACAAGAGATGATCACAACGAATTATAGGTTGTCATGGATTTTTTTATATTTAAATTTTTTTGAAGATTCTTGAAATTATAAAACTACTTTTTATCAGTAGATTTTTTGAAATGACTCGAATCAATAAGCAAAACTACATATATTAATGAAAATTATGATCCCACATGCATATAGACACACACATATGTGCGCCTAATAATTATTGACAATTTTTGTGCAACCTTATATCACCTTCTGTTCTTAATATAAGATTTAGTTTATAACCATTTTATTCTACGATATTTAAGAATTGCTATCAATACTTCAATGTAGGTCTAGCATACTCCTCTCTTCCACGGTTCAGAGCTATTTAAATTAACAATTAAGGATTCTCAAATCTACTAGTACTAGTATTATTTGAACTACCATAACCTGAATCTTATACTATCTCTAATCTTTAATATAAAAGCTAGTTGATTAATTTGAGTAGATTAAGAAAACTAGTTAATTTAGTTATTTGTAATAAATCAGTTTTGTCTTTCCTAAAATATCCTTACTAATCAAGTGCATTAACTGGAACTAAAGGTAAAAACAGGCCAGGCCTTGCTCTTAACAGGCTAGGCCTGTTTTGTAGTCTATCGGCCTAAGCCTAGCCTGTGGCTTGTTACATGTTTATTATTTAACCTAGGCCTAGTCTGTATAAAGGCCTGGCCTGATACCTATTAAAAAACCTATACTTTTAAAAAATTCAAATTACATAGCGATATTAAAAAAAACCTAAGATTAAAAAAGCACACATAATAATTAATTTTTTAGTCTTGTCTTTTATTTAAATTTTGGTATCATAAGTACTATTTTAAATCTTAATTACAATTTATAAAGATATTATTGAAAACTAGTTATAATTGTATGTTAAAATTTGAAACAAGATTATGTTTAAATGCAAAATGAAAATTAAAATCAAGATAAATAAATAAAGAGAGCAAACTATTAATTTTATGACGAATAAAATTTTTCTTGGAGCAAAATTTTTCTTTCCTATTATATATATATATATTTTTTTTTTTAGAATTTAAAGATCACATTATTTATTGATATTATTATTTTAAATTATATTTTTATCTTCACTTATCTACTAAACTTCAAAATCCAAGAAAGTATTAGGCCATTAACCATATATTAAAATGAAAAAATAAATTAAAGAAGCACATTAACAATAGTACCATTAACTAATTTCTTATATATTATAATTATAAATTTATAACAGGCTAAGATCGGTTTAACAAGCTTAACAGGCTTTCCAGAGAACCTAAGCCTAACCTGTTAAGTTAAACAGGTTTTCAAACAGGCCTGAGCCTGTTTCTTTTGAAAAATAGAACAAGCTAGGTCAAGCCAAATACAGGTCAGGCCATAGACCCCTAACAGACTGTCTGGCCTGTTTCTACCCTTTGCTAGAACTACCATTATTATATGGACTACTTTAAGAAAAATAAATAAATATAGGATTTTAATTCATTTTGTTTCTTATATTTATGTATTTTTTTTTCTAATGTAATCCTTCTAATAATGATATTTTAGGAAATACAACACATATTTATTACAAATAACTAACTTAACTTATTTTTTTAATCTTCTCAAATTAACTAACTAACTCTTATAATTAGGATAGAAGGTGATATTATTGAGGTTTTAAATCTCAGGTTCATTGGACAAAAACATCTGAGGTTCATCACTCTTGACGGGTTAGTTGCAGGAGATCTGGCGCTAGTGTGATTGTCAACATCAATGTGTCAACGACTGCCTTTTTTAGAAAACGATAATTATGTTTAATTTTAAATTTCATTAAAATGTTCAAATTTTTTAAGACAAAATCATAAATAAAGACAGTCAAATATGAAAAATTATAAATTGGGATCCATTACAATATTATTATGGGTTTTGACAATAATATTATAGGTTTTGACAATATTTTTGTAAATGGGTCTTTGTCTGTAATTTTTCAAATTTTATGGTTTTTATTTGCAATTTGTCCTTCTTCAATATTTAAGAAATTCCATAGCTAAGACCAAAAATGAAATAAATAAATAAATGAGGTGGAGAAAAGGACGTCCACCGGCAAAGCAATGGAGTAAGAGCAAATTTTGAAAATGGAAAACGATAATTATGTTTAATTTTAAATTTTAATATTTAAGAAATTACACAGCTAAGACAAAAAATGAAATAAATAAATAAGTGGGGTGGATAAAAGGACGTCCACCGGCAAAGCAATGGAGGAAGAGAAAACTGAACGGGTGAGGAGCAAATTTTGAAAATGGCATGAGACCGAGGACTGGGGAGAGACAGGGAGAGGGATGGTGGGAGGTATGTGATTTGAAAAGGAGGTGCGTGGGTGGGTGTTTGTTATGCCAAACACAGGAAATAAAGGCCGGCCTTCATGTGCACCACGTTAGCTCCTTTGTCATCAACTCCAACACCTCTACGTGGAACGCAATCCCCTCCTGATAGGCCTCTGCTTTTATTGTCCCCTCTTTCCAGCCAAAAAATATATATATATATATATATATATTATATGCATTCCCCTCAAAATCAAATCTTTTCTTCTTTCTCTTCACCGAAATGCTCACGTTGATAGTATTTTAAATAAAATTATTTTTAATAAAAAAATATATGTAGCGCTTAAGCAAAAAAAAAACTTTACTTTTTTTTTTAAAATTAATAGTAAGTTGTTTTAATAACAGCGCTATTTATTACAATATTATTTATTATGTTTAGATGAAGTTTTAGATTAAGATCCACTATTAGATATTTAAAAAAATTCTCGCACTCAAACACATTGCGAGAACTCAAAAAAATATTTATAGAAGTACTTATGAGTCACTTACTAATAAAATTATTATATCAATACAAGATTTGAGCTCCTATTATTATGAAATATAAATAGTATACTACTTCCGATCCTTAATATAAGATCCTGTTTGAATTTTTGTTTGATCCTAATTATAAGACCTCAATCCATTTTGTCTCTCATATTTATGTATTTTTTTTCAAGATTATCCTTCTAATAATAATAGTTCTAGCTAATACACTTAATTAGCAAGGATATTTTAGGAATGACAACACTTATTTATTACAAATAACTAACTTAACTTACTTCCTTAATCTCTTCAAATAAGTCAACTGGATCTTATAATTAGGACCGGAGGTAGTAATTACCAATTGGATCCATCATTACACCAAGAGAGTGAGAGCCCTTGATCTATATTTTTCTGCCCTTTTCAATTATAAAAACAATTTTAGTGTGTTGTTGTTGTTTACAATTATATTCATTCTGTATCATGGAGTTATTCCTTCGATATTATACTAAAATGAAAAAAAAATAAATGAAATGAGTAGTGATAAATTTTTAAATAATTACAAAATTATATATATTTTTTCAATAAAAAAGAATGAATTTCCATTCTTGCCAAATGCCTCCTAACCTTTCATTTGCATACATAAATAGAAGAAAAAAACGAGAGAGCCAGCAATTATTTTATTCATACAATGTAATGTATATACAAATAATAAGGAGGAGGACTAGAGATGTTATTATTGTGAATGAGGCAGCCAAAAAAGAATGAGATGTTATTATTGAGACTGCTCACTAGAGAAGCTCCACATAAGGAGGGGTGAAATAATTTATAGTGTTAGATACACATGGCGGTTGCCCATTGCTGGTTGTCCTGTTTTTGTGGTCATTTTCTTTTCTTTTTTTTTTTGGCTCGTAATAGTAATGGCTTTCTCTCTTCACCCTCTGCCTCTTCTATCCACAAAAATTTCTTCCTCATGGTTCCTGTAAAATATTATACTAATCAATTTTATTATGAACAGAATTCATATGGGTCTAATTTTAATACTCATGATAATGATAATTAAGAATATTATTATGATGAGATTTGAATGGATGAAAAAAAAAAAGATTTGAATAGTGGAAATTTAATTTGAATAATCCTGATTTAATATTTTTCCAATCTATATACTTTAAATAATAAATACATCCTTTACGTGATGGCAATAACAAATTATTTTGATTTTAAATTATATAAAATTAAAACATTATTAAAATTCGGATTTTCAATTTTGATCTGGAGGATTCAAATTCGAAAACTCATCATTTCAAATAAGTCACATGTTTTTCAACTATTGAGTTGTACAAAATATAAAATAGGTCATATTATTTATAACTCACAAATAATATACTACCTCCGGTCTTTAATATAAGACCTCATTTGATTTTTATTTTAGTTCTAAATATAAGACCCCAATCCACCTTGTCTCTAATATTTATGTTTTTTTTTTAAATAGTCTCTCCAATAATGACAGTTCTAGTCAATACACTTGATTAGTAAGGATATTTTAGAACAGACAACACCTATTTATGACAAATAACTAACTTAACTTCTTTTCCTAATCTCCTCAAATTAGTCAACTAACTCTTATAATTAGAACCGGAGATAGTATATGTTTTGATAATATTGAAATGTCGTGTGTGGGGTCATACCAAAAAAAATGTGAATGTGATTATATGAAATTATGGATACGGTATGATAGGAATATGATAGGCAATGAATGAAGAATGAATATAATTATGAAGTATGTAAAATATAAATTAAAATAATGGCATACATATGATATGCAATAGGAATGTCGGGTATTATATTATCATTTGTATAGATGAATGATAGGGAATATATAAATATACCTAATTAGTTGTTTTAAGCTGTGTCCCACAGAGTTGAAGTCGGCAATAATAACACAAGCACCCAGCAGAGCAAGCTTTTATAATGCTTCGGTGATCCCTGCAATTCACAGTATGAGTATGCTTATAGCTTGTAAATATTAGCTAAATATTTATGGTATATATATGGATTGTATATAATATTTTTGGAACTAAATAACATTTTTATTACATATACATGGAGATATAGATTTTCCTATAAATCTTAGTTTATTTATGTTTGAGAAGCTTTGAAAATGGGGAGGGTTTTAAATCAAATTATTTTTAATAACTAAAATTTCTAATAACGAGCGAAGATTTTTTTAATGTTAATTTTTTTTAAAGGGAAAAGAAATTAGCACTACGTATTACGAAAAAGATCAACTGTTTATATTTTATTTGAAAAGTTTATATTTAAAATTTTTAATTAATTATTTTTAAATAAGAAATTATTTTAAAAATAATAATAATTAAGAGATTATCATTTAAGACAAATACTTATATTAAACCTCTGACCTTTTCTTCATTTCGGTTGACTTCAATTTTCTAGGAGCTAATTAACTAATTTATATAAATTTAACAAACAAAAAAAAGGTAAGCTAGTCATTTACGCTGTAAAATAGCGGCAATAGTTTGGATTACGTTAATTAAAACTATAATATCCTCAAGTTCTCTGTTTCAAGTTTAATTCTAGCTGTAACTATCTGCAGCTATAAGCGAACTTAAGTTTTCACAAATCTGTAAACAAATGAAACTAATTACCTTACTGGCAGAGGAGTTAAGAGAAACCGAAGGATCTGAGGACGCCGACGACGACGATGACGCCGATGATGATTTAATATTAGAAAGCCCTACGTCGTAAACCATACTTTCATCAGGCTGAAACAGCCCATAATTCCTCTCCGACGTCGGGCCGGGCTTTGAATCCTCATTGAACAATGCAAACAGATACACCTCCAGGCTCATTTTTGGCCTCAGAGGCGTCCCTTCGCCCGCCATCTGCCTTCTCAACAAGTTCCCGTTATAGGTCGCTGCGTTCTGAACGGTCGCTCCTGGTTCATCGGAATCGCCCTTCGATGGCCATCCTGTCTCCGATACTTTCACCTCGATTCCGTCGAAACCCAGTTTCTGAATCGCGAAAACAACCGCGTCCACCATGGCGTATAGCATGTTGTCGTAGTGTAGATTCGTGACCGGGTCCACCATTCCTGGGCTGGGATTGAATAGAACGTATTCGAGTGGGATTTGAGATGGTTCGTCCTTGTAAGCGAAGAATGGGTAGGCGTTGATCCAAAATGGAGTTTTCGTGCTTGATAAGAAGTTCAAGAATTGAGTCATAATCTCGGAGATTTCGCTCTTGAAGCTGCCGTTTGAAGGAGGATAGGATTGATCGAGAACTGCTTGGGAACTTGGGGTTGTCACCATGATGTTTGTGTTAATGCCTAGCTGAGAAATTGCGTTGTGAATGTTAACCACAGCAGGAACGAGGTATTGAATAAGAGTTGGATCATCATCAGTGAAGACTTCGTTTCCTACATGGATTGCTGTGATTTTTGTGCCAGGAACGAACGGCTTGATGCGATTGTTCACCCATTCAAGTGCTTCTTGGGGATCGTCTAGCTGGTTGAGTATTTCGTTTTCTACTGTCACAATGAGCTCAATGTTGGAATTGGCAAAAGCTGACAGAACCCGAGGATTTGTGTCGTAGATTCTTGCTTTCGTGAGCTTAAAGGATGTCAAGAGTTCGACCACTTTTTCTGGTGGTGGCAAGTTGTCAGCTACTTGGCCATAGTTAATCCCAAAGGAAGCCACACCAAGTAAGAATCCTACATATGTGATTGAACCAGCAGTGTTGAAATCAGTTAGTGCTACTACTTAATATGATCCCTCATACATATGATAAATATCGTATCATATCATAGTATCAGATTCCTTCTTTTTATACATAACAAAGTAAGAAAAAGATTTAAAGAGTAAAATCTAGAATCAAGGAAATATATGTATGCAGAGCAAAACAGAACAAAATGATACCTGAAGAGAGGAAAAGAGCAAGAAAAGCATAGCCAATAGCCATTCTTCTGACAAATGTTGTCATTGTGAGAGAGACTTCGAAATTGAAGAGTTTGAAGAGTTCTTAAATGGAGATAAAGAGAGGTATTGTAGGCGGATGAATTCCTTTCTTTTCTTGTTAGAATATTTTGGAGGCAGAGAGGAAGAAGAGGTCGAAGGTAACGAGACGATTTGTTTATGGCTTTTCTGAGGGCTTGGCTTGCACTTGTAGTATTGCTACCTCAGCCTCATGCTCTTACTTCCTCAAGTGGTTTTTAAATTGTTTTAGACTTCTAGTTTTCCAAAATAGCATTATTTTTTCTCAGCCAAGCTCCAATTTTTTGTAGTTTCTTTTGGCCCAAATACCCTTTTGAGCCACTTTCTTCGTGCAAAAGGAAGAGAAATCCCTCTTCGGTAGGTTAAATATTTGAGGCAAGTTATTGTGGCAGGATCCCAATATTTGAGGCAAGGTGAAATTTTTAGTTGACCTAATGATGAGAGATTCTGTATAGATAGTAGTATAATTTTTGTTATATAATAATTATGTATATATACTTATTTAATACACTTGCTTATGGGGGCACCTAGGAGGCATGTTGCCATAACGCTTTTGGGTAAGAAGACAATGAAATCGCTGGAATTGACCCTTTTTGACTTGGAAATGCCTTCGCGTAAGAAAAATTTTGAGCAATAATGATATAGATGGACCCTTTTCTTTGTACTATAGAGAACCACGTATTTGTGTAAAGTATTTAGGCAAAATAATATCTTATTGTCTTCGGATACTTGTCATTTCATAGTAGTGATCTAAGATCCGGTTGGTCTAATTGGTTCAATCTTTTTTCTTTTTGTGGGAGATGCATGGGTGAGATTAAAAGCACTTTTTCACAAATTGAAATAAACTCATATGTATATTTATTTTATATATCATAAAAGTATTTTAAAACCATGATTTTGATTCCATCCAAACATCCTCTAAGTTACAGATTTGTCTTTTGGCTGACCATATTTCCCCAGAGAGAATTCTTATGATAGAAGACGTTCTGGAGTGTTGGTAACTTGAACGTAAAAGCTATCAAAGTGTGGGTGGTAGTTTAGGATTCAGACCATCCGTTGTAACAAGATATCTCAAATTTATCTCATTCAATTTATTTTAGGATTAATGTAATAGTTATCTTGAAGTAATTTAACATTCTCAGGGTTATTTTTTAAGTGAAATTTTATTTTAGTTTTTGTACATAAAATATTTCTCAAATTAGTATTTCTATAAAAGTATATTCTCAACCAAATATATTTTCTGATGGCTGCAAAGAAAGCAGAGAGAGGGAGAGAGAGATTTATTCTTTTAGATTTAATAATTTATATTGATATTTTTATACAAATAAGCATGTCTTGCTTTAATATTTAATGAGGATTCTTGCTTTTGTTGAAAAATATAATTAACAGTGATTTTTATATTTCTTTGTGAAGAACCGAATTAGAAAAGCATTTTATGAAGGAATAAATTAAGAGATTTCGCTTGGAAATGACTGAATTGATAAAAAGAAATTATATGACTAATTAAATAAAAGTGTTTCATTTATAAGAAACTAAAATAAAGTTTTATTTGGTAATGCTGTGTAATCTATCTTTTACTTTTTTTTTTGCTAAAGTAAATGTTTTAAAATGCATCTTAAGATCTCGGAGGCCATTTGCTATGAATTAGAATAGGTGAAGGAATCACACGGAAAAAAAAAAAAAAAAAAGGTACATATTTTGACCAATTATTCTGGTCCAGCCTTTCTTCCCGTTATTCTAGTTGAGTTATGAGCAAGATTTCATAAAATTTGATTGAATTGGACGTAATAATCAAATCAGAGATGAAACTTTTGACGTAATAATCAAATCAGAGATGACACTAGACTCTAATCAAATCAGCGAGTCCGATCCGGCATTTAAAGATCATTGACTTTTTATCTACTCAGTGACTATAATCTTTGCATTAATTAGTGTGATAATTTTGAAGGGCCCCACAAGTAATTCTTGCTTATGGTTAGTTAAGAAGAACCTCCTTTAATTTACAACCCTTAATTATCATGATTTTGTGAATCCCACGTCACCACTGTGGACCATCGATCTAGTCTTCTGAGATTTTTTTTTTTTTTTTGAAACGCACTTTTCCTTTAAACTTTTTTCCCCCAACACTTTTCCTTTAAACTTATTGCAAATTGTAGTTTTTTTAATATATTATATACAATATAAACTTTTATATGCTCTTATATTTAGAACCAGAGCAGTACTAATTTTGGTTATTAATATGAAATCTAGATAACTAGTTTAAAAATATTTAAAAAATTAGTTTAAATTAATTATTTATAGTAAATATGTGTTAATCTAAATAGCTAAATGAACATTGAGAAATAATATGATTGTTAGAATTAGATTGAATCAACTAGTTTAACTAGTTTATCTGAGTTCAAAATTTTGTCAAAAAGGGAAAGTGAACTGATCAAAACTAATTATTGTTATTTCTTTTAAAAGAAAAACTGGCTATTACTTCAAATTATTATTATTATTATTATTATTATTATTATTATCATCATCTTTTCACATGCATCAAGCATTCATTTCCATATTTTAATTCATATGCCAACTGTAACAGGGTTTTGCCAAAGGTTCCATTCCTTATAAATAATCCCCAAAAAAAAAAATTCTCCCTAAATCTTTTAAAATGCCAAACTGACCCAAAAGAAAAGGGCTTGACTTGGAAAATGGATTGGAAGTGTGTGATTGGACAAAGCAAGGAGTTACTATAACCATCTCACATCTTACTTTTCTAACAACTTTAACCGTCATGATTTTTCAGATGATTTGGATTGTTTTTCACGCCTTGTTGAACTCTTACCACTCGTTTTACTTTTTGTTAAAAGATAGAGTCCATATCATTGATAATACTCCTCCGATTCTAGATATAAAATCTTTTTTATAGTGTAATTTACACTATAAAATAGGTTTTAATTTAGAATCGGATGAGTAATATAAAGTACTCTCTCTAACATTATTTATAAGCTTTAAATTTAAAAAGATATGTGGTTTATTTTATAAGCTTCAATTTGGGGTTTATCTAAATGTTTTTGCCCTTAGTTATTTATTCTTTCTTATATGTCATATTCTCTTGTCATATTTTTCCACACATTCTCATTTATTATAAAGGTATATTTAGAAACAAAGCTATAAAGGTGTTTGGATGAAAACCAAACTATAGTTTCAGAAATGATTTTACGGTATACAAAGTAAATATATAGAGGAATTTATCTCAATTTGCGGAAAAGTGCTTTTAAAAAACACTTCTAACAATTCCCAAACACCCCCTATATTTTTAACTATATTATTGCTTTTAACTAATTTTAACTACTTGTTTGTTATCTGTAAATTAATTATTTAAAACTTATAATAAGAACTAGAGAGAGTATATATAAAATTCTTAAAAACCATATCAATAATAAATTATAAACAATAGAACTCACTTTTTTTTTTGTATTTAATACAATCAATGGGATCCATGTTAAAACAAAAATCTTCACTCTTTCACCTCCCAGCAAAAATCATTTTAAATTGTGCATTTGCACAAACAGACATAAAAATAGTAAAGAGTTTTACCTTTCAAATCAAATTAGACATATCACTATGCCTTTTCCTTTTCTTATAAATCATCCAGAAGAGAAGGAGGAATGAGAAACGAAGAGATTCACATTTTTTTTAGGTGTAGATGAAAAGAAAGCTGCAGGCTATATAGCCACATCAACATATGTGCGTGTATGTGTGAAAAAACATTCACCTGACAGGGGTCTGTCTTGGTCTAATATTTAAAATCTCAATCAATTTTATCTTTTAAATTTATATCTTTTTTCTCAAATCATCTCTATTAATTACATATACTACTTTTAGTTCTTAATATAAGAGCTTGTCTGACTTTTATTTTAATCTTAAATATAAGATCCTAATAAATTTTGTCTTTCATATTTATTTATTTTTTTCAACATAGTCTCTGTAATAATAATAGTTGTAACTAATACATTTGATCAGTAAGAACATTTTAGAAAAGACAACACCTATTTATTACAAATAATTAATTAACTAATTTTCTTAATTTACTCAAATTAGTTAACTAGATCTTATATTAAGAACCAGAGGTAGTATTAAAGAAGGTCTTCCTGTGATGGGGCAATTTCCAATGCAAATAATTGGAGGGAATACATTAAATGAATTAATATATATATAGTTATTACAAATAAGTAGCTAACCAATTTTGTTAATATTTATAAATTACTTACTTAACTCTTTTACTTAAAATCAGAATGAATAACACTGCTATCTGAAAACTATCAACATTACGCCTCATTAGTTCATTGCCTCCTTTCAGTGTGTTTTTGGGTAACAGCTACCATCAGGCTTTTTCAAAGCAATATTTGTACAGAACCAACAAGGTTTCCTATCCCATAAACGTATATGTTTAACCCATAACCAACAGTTCTACAAAACAGTACACAAACTTTTTGTTGGTGCCATTAGCTAATGATTGGTATTTGGTACAAATCCCTAACACGCGTCTTATGAGAAGCTACAAACAGTTACTTATTATTATCACCTTCAGTCTCCAATATAAAAGCTAATTAATTAATTTTAGTAGATTAAGAAAGTTTGTTAAGTTAGTTATTTGTAATAATTAGGTGTTGTCTTTCCTAAAATACTCTTATTAATCATATATTACCTCAAATCCTAATTATAAGACCTCTTTTATAGACTACAAGTGAGATCTTATAATTAAGTCCGGAGGTAGCATTTGCTAAAACAATTATTTGATTAAACTTTTAACATGCGACACTACTATAAAGACTACTTTAAAAAAAAAGATAAATATAAGAGATAAAGTGGATTTGAGTCTTATATTTAGGATTAAATTAAAAATCAAACCAGCTGTTATATGAACCACAGGAGGGAGTACTATGGATAAACTTAATAAATTTTGTTTCGAGGCCAAAAAACTAAAAAGCCAAACAAACAAACCCTTGAAACACAAAATAAGAAATGAATGGAGAGGACATGTTGGAGAGACGCATTATTATGGGAGATGCAGGCGGCGATGTTTTCTCGCCGTGTCTGTGCCCTCTCAATTCTTCAAAGTCTCAGTTTCAGAATTCTGTAGTCTTTAAAAGCACAACTCATACTTGTTCGTACCATTTCTCATATTTCGTTTTCGCTTCCATCTAATAATTGACCCTCCCAAACAGTGATTCTCTTCATGACTCTCTTCCCCCTCAATTATTTCTGCTTTTC